GGGGGGGAGGGTCCCATAAGGGATCGGCAGAGGGGCATCGGGGAAATCGGGATTGGTATGGACGGACTGAATTTTTTGCGTGTATACTGTGTTAGTTTGGTTAGGTAGTAGTTATCCCCAACGCCCACGAAAATTTGCACTATGCCAGTCCCTTTAGCGGAATATCATACAAAAGCAGCTTGGTCATCAATCGAAGTAGCGACGGAAATTAGAAATATGTGTTCTTGCCGCCTGATCCTCCAGACACTTGCAGGATCAGAACGTACCATGCGACATTCAACAAACGAAGCCACGTGTGTTGGGGTGTGACTCGTCATAAGACCTTCCGTACATGGTATGAACGACGTGTCCTCTATGGCAAGCCGGAAAACTTGCGGCACTTGTTCAAGAAGGCGAGAAATGGCCTATATAGTAGCAAGTAACCGGAATGTGATCAGAGAGCGAGGTGTCAGGAAGAAGATGTGTCAAGGACAACACTGCGAACTGGTTCGCTGAGACGGCAAAGGAGCATGTTTGGGTATTTAGTGAGCGTGAGCAAACGAGTACGACCAAGAGAGAGCAACTTCAAGTGAACGGAGGTTTGGCCTATCTCATCATGAACACAACATTCTCAATCTAGTCCGCCCGGTGCTCCACCTTGTGCACATCAAAGAAAAGAGACTAAGGCACTGATTGTTGAAGCACGTACGATGGTTTCACTTGGGGGGCGGGCTCGAAAAATTTCCATGACTGGACCCCCTCAGGACCATCACCAGCTCCTCGTCCCCATCCGCTGCTTTGAACAGTTGGGCCTCTGACAAGGGATTGTGTGGGGTGACGCCAAGAGGAGAGGTCTGCGGCTCAGTAATATGGAGGTCACAAACGATTCGAGTGGGCCAGGAGATTGTATTGCCTACAAGGTACAGTCTAAAAGGTGCTGGGGAGAATCAGTTTTGAGTTCGTTAGTAGACGAAGGCATCGAACCCCTGCCGCTTCTGTCGGCAACGTACCGAGATCGTGGCAATCGAGATACGAGAGCACCGGGGGGTCAAGAGATTCAAGCCCGGCGTCTTGCTGACGTCTAACGTATAGCTTGAAGATGCCACCCTAGGCACTAGTCACAGATAAGCGCACCCCGGTCCAAAGCTATGCGCTTCTGGAACTTATGGAGTAGGTTTTGCTCAAGCACTCGGACGATCTCGTCGAAGGGTTCCTTAAAGATGCTGACCCGTTCCTCGAGACTGAGCTTGTTGCAGGCCTCCCTGTGGTTCGAGAGAAAGACAGAACGGGTACTCAACATGGCCGGTCGAGTGTAGGGCGTTTTTAATGATATCCGATCACGCCGGACGTCTGCTGAGAATATCGAGCCCACGACACGACCACTCTGGAGC